GCCAAATCAATAGAGTGGAGCCAAATCTGTACTATAAAAAATTTGGTAGTGCTAAAATGTACCCAAGGTTTGGTACTACCAATATTTTGGTAGGGTTTCAAACCAAACAAGCCCTCTGTACCTGCGCATCTAGCCAGCTATATAGCCTGCTACTTGTACCACTCCTGCTGCTAGCCAGCTCGCTCGTCGCCGGCGCCGATCAGTCGTGCTCTCTCTCTTCCAGCCGCGTTTGACGCCTCAGGGCTGGCGGCGTGGCATGGCAGATTGGCGATTGGCACTCGCGAGTGCGGGGGCACACGTCTTTTCACGTCCCGTTTCGGCGTGGTGTACATCGGATCGCATCGATTCGTAAGTGATGGGAGAGCGCGCAGTAGTAGCAGGTAAGCTAGCGCTAAATATATTCCCTGGTTGACGGCCGGGCAGGCGCAGCTGAAGCCCCGTGCGGTATCATGTGGCCCTGTCTCGCCATCTTTATTATTCCACCGTGATCTACGCTTCATATACTCCCACTCATCTTTCTTCCCTCCCTGGCGCCATCAGCCTATTCTCTCCCAAAGATTTCCATAGATTTTTTTCTCACTAAAAGCACTAATGTGTTTGTATTCTGCGTAGGAAGAATATTGCCGTAGAAAAACAAGTTATGTGTATGATGTACTCGATAGAGTTTGTGTTGAATAAGTGTACAAAGTCGGTTACATTTTAGTACTTAGAGTTGTACTGGGTGTTAGAACTAGAGTAAGAGTTTAGACTCTATTATAGAATCTCTTTTAAATAGAGAGGTGTACTTGTTGTAATCGCATATGGTGACTTAGCATGGTGAGAAAGAGTTGCTGCTAGCAGCGTCCCACCATGAATCATTGTAACTGTGTTACGCGCTATGCGGACTTGACGTCATCCCCACCTTCCTCCAGTATCTCACTGGCAGTACCTCGTGACTCATGAGTGCGGCATGCACCTTTTTCTTTGTTTCGGAGCGGGGCGCGTACTATTACCACTACGTACTACAATTTCTCCTTAGTTCCTACAAGGGTTAAAAAGGTAGGCGACAAGAATGCGGTCACCGTAATCAATGTTACGGGGATGTAGATTTTGACTGAACCTCGTTAACAAATATCGTGCTTCAATATCGTTATCGTGTTTGGATCTTCTATGGTATTTCTTCTGCGTTTGGTTTCTGATGATGCTATTGGTACTGATTTTATAACGTACTGACCGTGTGCAGTGCACACCACAAAATGTGGCGAGCAGTCAGTAGTTTGCTGCAACAAACAAATGACCGTTCTTTTTGGCTGTCTGTCACACGAGGTGCACGACACTGACCGGATATATGCCGTCCTGGCTCAACGATGCAACTTCACCTCGAGAGATCTAGTAGTGGACTATGTACAAGATTGAGTAGAGTCAGAGTACTATTAGGGTAGCCTTTGGAGGTTCTAGGTGAACTGAAACTTAGCCAATAGCCACGACTAGGATAAACAACCGTTCGTAGTATTGCACAAAGGTAGTAGTATTACAAAAAGCGAGGAACATCCTGAATTCCTGATTCGGTGCCTTGCACAAAGGTAGGAATTGCTGGAAGAGCCCGGGAGCGTGTTCGCCCCATCCCCAAGCACAGATGCTCAGCTCCACTGGAATATCATCGGTCTAGTGGGAGAGATCCTAATCTGGAAACTGTTTTAACAGCTCGAGTGGTCGTCCATCCGTTTATTGTATATCATTTAAATGGTTATGAAAAAAATTAAAAAAATATGAACTAGATAGATCAATATGTAATATATCGATCCACAAACATGAAAGTTAAAATTTAACTTCTACAAGTTATAACAAAAATAACAAATAAAATTCAAATTACTATATGTATATTTACAATTAAATTTGTTATTTTTGTTACAATTTGTAGAAGTTGAATTTGAACTTGCATGTTTGTGGAGTGATATATTACATATTGATCTATCTTGTTAATTTTTTTTGAAAATTTTTCGTAACCATCTAGTTGATATGCAATAAACGGGTGGACGTCCACTCGAGCTATTAGAATCCATCTCCATCCTAATCTGATATATCAGCGCATGCAAGTACAAACGCCGAAACGCGTGAGGCCCCCTTATTGCCCCCTTTCGAACCAGGGATATACATATTTGTTTATTTTCTTCGTCCGAGTAGAAATAAAACTGTGTGAAATTACGGTGTTTCAATGGAGGCTTTTCCAAATTTCGTGTGGATTTTGCAGTTGTTTATTACAGTAGCTCCAATAGGAGTACTGTAGCGCACTGAGCACTCATCAACACGCCAGTAGGAGTTGTTTGCCGGTGGATTATTGAACCAACCGCCCAACACGCCCGTGACACGCGCCGCGCGGTGCCGACGCGCACTCCCGTGTCGCGCGATCGAGCGAGCGACCGGCCGCCCCCACTCCCGCAGTGTGGCAGGCCAACCGGCCGACCGAACGTGTCGAGCGTGCGTGACGGCCTCCTACCATCCATCGGCCGGCGCCCCACACACCGCACGTAGTGGCACGGCACGACCGACGACAACGAACGCGCGGAGCGCGCGCGGGCGCATCGCGTCGTGACACATCGCACACGGGCCCGGGCCGTCCTGCCTTGTGCCTGCCCTGCCGGCCGCGACGACCGTGACGCGAGCACCGTCTCGATCGCCGGCCGCCCGGCCAACGCGAGCGCGCGACGCGGCACGATTGCCCGAGTTCGCCGCGCGCGCTGCTACCCCGTACGTGCGCCGTTCGACGTACGCGGCTTCGAGTCAACGTGCATGCGCGGCCGGTCGCGGCGCCGTCGCGCGGGCACCCTCTGCCTTGTTTCGTTGGGAATACGGTACCATTATGGCATCCATGCAATGTACAGAGAAACGTAGTAGTACGTATATATACGTACTCCACGCTACACGATCGTTGGATCTGACACGTACGTAGGGGAGACGCTTGCTAATGAGTTGCTTTCGTGCAATGGCGTGTCGGTCCAGATGAGATATGTGGCGGCCATGCGCGCCCATGCCTGGTCTCTATCATACTACAAACTTTGGCTGTGTTTAATTCCCTTCAAACTTTCAAAACTCCATCACATTAAATATTTGGACACATGCATGGAGTATTAATTGTGGACGAAAAAAAACAATTGTACAGCTTACATGTAAATTGCGAAACGAATCTTTTAAGCTTAATTGCGCTATGATTTGATAATATGGTGCTAAAGTAAACATTTGCTAATGACGGATTAATTAGGCTTAATAGATTTATCTCGCAGTTTACAGACGGAATCTGTAATTTATTTTGTTATTAGTCTACGTTTAATACTTTAATTGTGGGTTCGTATACGTAAATAATTTTTTTGACAAGGAACTCAACACGGCCTTTATTAACTAGGGTCCCTGTCCATGATCACCGAGTATGAGAGGCACCGGAACCAGATCCTTTGACTTTTGAGGGGTCAAACAGTGATCTGCGTGACTGCATTCGGTATAGGTAAATATCGTACTCCATCCGTCGCGATTTTTATCTATCTTAAAACTAAGATGTGTCATATTTAATCAAAATCTGTTATATTTTAGTACTCCCTTCGTTTCAAAATATTTAACACCATTGATTTTTTAGCATATGTTTGACCGTTCGTCTTAATAAAAAAAGTTTGTGAAATATGTAAACCTATATATGTATATGAAAGTATATTTAACAATGAATCAAATGATATGAAAAGAATAAATAATTACTTAAATTTTTTGAATAAGACGAATGGTCAAACACGTACTAAAAAATTAACGGTGTCAAACATTTCAAAACGGAGAGAGTATAAGCGTAGAGAGAGAGAAGCATATAGTAGTATATATAACTACATATCGTAGCAATAGAATCGTTTCTAATCCATTTAAGACTAACCGGTGACTATATAATCCTATACACCTCTGAATGTTCACCTCAAAAATCTTCACGTGCGGTTGGGCAGCTTGCACGTGAAGATGGTGATCTTTACATACCATCTCGGGGAGACGGGTCGGTCTTCCGCACATGAAAATGCTTTTTGGGTAGCCTGAAAAAACGAGTTTTGTCAAGATGATATACAGACGAAGGCCAATGGATAACCGATTTGTTTACAGTGGGTTAAATAGTACTCCTTCTATACCAGTTTGATTATCACGTAAGGTTTTTAAGGTCTTTCTAAAATGACCACCCTCTAATAAGTGCATCTTTGTTTATTTATGCCAAAAGTAAATGTGCAACATTGAATATATTAAATGCAACCAACCAAAGAGTAATTTCTATTAGTCCAACTACATACAATATTTAAAACTTGATGCAATCCACGGAACACGAAGCAACGTAGCACCTTAACCAATGAGAATTAATTATAACATGATGGATGTTTTATTGTCCTCGGTCTCTACGCTCTTTGCTTAGGTGATGATCAAAATTGGATTGAGGGAGTATAATTCTTAAACCTAGCAATTAGCTTAGAAGACCTAATCTAAACACCACCTAATCTAAATTATTATTTAGTCCCTCCTTCCCAAACACCACCTAAGCAACGCCGATGTAGAAAGTTTTCAAGAAATTGTATGTGACACGAATAATCCTGAACGATAATCGTATTAATGATAGTGGATGATAAGATTTCACTGTGTTCCAGAACAATTACACAATAGTAATTGCCTACTACGTTATAAGTTGATAACCCTAAACATAGCTATATTTAAAATATAATCATATATTTAAATATAGTATATTTTCATCCAATCATATTACAGATGATATTTCTCCTAGTACCATTTGCGGCATCCCCACTAACGAAAAATAAAATGAAAAACCCTGTCCCGCTTTTCCTCCTTCCCATAACTGATATTTCTATGATTTATCTTATCCCCCTATTATCCTCTCGTGATACTTTGTCGAGCTGGTCCAATGGGGTGCCAGGAAGTAGGACACTCAGCAGTCTCAGCTCTCACTCTCCGTCCTGCTCCGGCGCTGCAGTGAGCGAGCTTTACATATGCACGTCCGCGAATGAATTGCAGCCACACAGCCCCCGGCCCGTTGTCCTTTCTCCACCTCGGTGGTCATCAGCTAGACAGCTATCGCGCGCCGTCCCACCACCATCTTGCTCCACTACGCGGACCACCGCGCGCGAGCAGAGCATCTCCTCACTCTCTAGCTTGCTCCAGTTTCGCGTAGCTGCGTGACAGTTCAATTGAACTCTCTGGATTCGTTGGTTACTTCGTCTGAGCTGCTGCAGCGTTGAGGAGGAGGAGGAGCAATGGCGCTCACGACGTTCTCCATTTCGAGAGGAGGCTTCGTCGGCGCGCTGCCGCAGGAGGGGCATTTCGCTCCGGCGGCGGCGGAGCTCAGTCTCCACAAGCTCCAGAGCAGGCCACACAAGGTCTGTGTGGTCGATTGCTGCTACGGTACTGGGCTATTGGCTCTGTTCTTACGCTATGGTTTGTTGTTGCTGCATTCGCCATTGCAGGCTAGGCGGAGGTCGTCGTCGAGCATCTCGGCGTCGCTGTCCACGGAGAGGGAGGCGGCGGAGTACCACTCGCAGCGGCCACCGACGCCGCTGCTGGACACGGTCAACTACCCCATCCACATGAAGAACCTGTCCCTCAAGGAGCTCCAGCAGCTCGCCGACGAGCTCCGCTCCGACGTCATCTTCCACGTCTCCAAGACCGGGGGACATCTCGGGTCCAGCCTCGGCGTCGTCGAGCTCACCGTCGCGCTCCACTACGTGTTCAACACGCCTCAGGACAAGATCCTCTGGGACGTCGGCCACCAGGTAACCCTTCGCTCTTAGCTCCGGTCGGACAACGTGCCTCGCCATGTGAGGGTGCTTCGAAGCTCGGAGACAAGGCCTGACCAACCCACCCACTTTCTTTATTCACCAACGCAGTCGTACCCTCACAAGATTCTGACCGGGCGGCGCGACAAGATGCCGACGATGCGTCAGACCAACGGCTTGTCGGGATTCACCAAGCGGTCGGAGAGCGAGTACGACTCCTTCGGCACCGGCCACAGCTCCACCACCATCTCCGCCGCCCTCGGTAACCTCCTCTTCTTCCTCCAGTCTCTCTGCATCGAGCTGTAAATTCTCTGTGAAACTGACCTACAGGCCGGCGTACGTGAGATTGGCAGGGATGGCGGTGGGGAGGGATCTCAAGGGAGGGAAGAACAACGTGGTGGCGGTGATCGGCGACGGCGCCATGACGGCCGGGCAGGCGTACGAGGCGATGAATAACGCGGGGTATCTCGACTCCGATATGATCGTGATTCTCAACGACAACAAGCAGGTGTCGCTGCCGACGGCGACGCTCGACGGGCCGGCGCCGCCGGTGGGCGCGCTCAGCAGCGCCCTCAGCAAGCTGCAGTCCAGCCGCCCACTCAGGGAGCTCAGGGAGGTGGCAAAGGTAAGGCCTCACAAGCGTTCAACGCTCACGCTCGATTGCCCACTGCCCAGAAAGGCACGTGAATGAAAAAGAAAAGGGAAGACAAAAAAACAAAAAATAGTGTCGCCGGATAAGCGTATAACTACTACGAAATGCGCCAAATTTTTAACGGGTTTTAGAATGAAACCGTCTAGTTTTTACCTAAATTTTAAGGACACGTTCGCTTGTCCAGAGAGCAGAGGGGCCTTACGAAATTTGAAGGCGACCGTGGAAATTAGTGAGGAAATAGTGACAATTTAACTTGCGTCCAGCAGCAGCAATCAACAGTGTTAAGAGTACGCCGTTAGCAAACGTGTCAGTGTCTCGCTCGCTTTTTCAATTTCAATTGCATGTTGTTTGATGCTTGCGTCGCATACATTCCAAAATAAGCTGTGTCAGACATGGGCTAGTTATACGTGTCTCGCATGGATCCACTCACCACAAAAGAAAATGGCGATGAAATCTATATGCTTCAGTCAATAAACTAGTAGGAGTACTATTATAGAGTACAGTAGTACCGCACACAAACCATAACACATTTGTCCTTTACAAAGCAGCTTAAGCCAGTATCTCAACAAGTTTGAGACGTCTCTTAAGAACCAAAATATTAGAGTATTTCAAGAGTACAATTGGACCATACTGCGTGTTCTCTATGCACGCTTGAAACATAGGCATCAGATTAATCCTGAAGTACAAACACACGCATACCCCACTGAAGCATATACATGTTTTCTATGTCGTCCAATCTTTTCCTTTTTACGGATTCAATTATCAAGGACATGCTTTCAAAGCTTCTAAACGGTCCAATTTTTTAAAAAAGTTCTACATATAAATGTAATAGTTAATTCATTCATCTGTTCCTTTAAATATTATCACAAAATCAGATAATCCATCATCCATTGAGCCCTTTCAAACTGGGCTGATGTTTGGGCTTAAAAGAAGGGGTTGCTATACAACGGAATCCCATTGGGACAGGATAATATCGGTTAGATATCAGGTCCTAATACCTCTGAGGTAACATGTCCTGATATATAACTGGTAGGTGATACCTATAAGGTATCAGGCGATTTCTACCACATATCAGGTGATACTTGCGAAATATCAGGTGAAACCTGTCAGGTATCAGGCGATTCCTACCACGTATCATGTGATACTTATGAACTAACAGGTGAAACCTGTCAGGTATCAGGCGATTCCTACCACGTATTAGGTGATAGTTGTGAAATATCAAGTGAAACGTATCAGGCGATTCCTACCACATATTAGGTAATGCTTGCGAAGTGTCAGCTGAAACTTGTCAGGTATCAGGCGATTCCTACCACGTATTAGGTGATACTTGCAAGATATCAAGAGCCGGGCACCAAAGCGTCGTCGCCGGTGGTACCACCGTCCACGTCTCACGCCGGAGCTTGTCGCCGGTGGCAGCATCCTCCACAGTCCACGCTATGTCAGAGCTAGGTGATACTTGCAAGATATCAAGAGCCGGACACCAAAGCGTCGTCGCCGGTGGTACCACCGTCCACGTCTCACGCCGGAGCTTGTCGCCGGCGGCAGCATCCTCCACAGTCCACGCTATGTCAGAGCTCATTGCCGGCGGCGGCGTCCTCTGTCATCCACACTTCACGCTAGAGCTAGTCGCCGACGGCCGCGTCCTCCACCGTCTACGCCACGTCAAAGCTCGTTGCCGGCGGCCGCGTCCTCCGTCATCCACGCCTCACGCCGGAGGTCAAAGCTCGTTGCCGGCGGCCGCGTCCTCCGTCATCCACGCCTCACGCCGGAGCTAGTCACCGACGGCCGCATCCTCTGTCGTCTACGCCACGCCATAGCTCTTTTCTGGCGGCCGCGTCCTCCGTCATCCACACCCCACACCCGAGCTCGTCGCGGCAGCCGCGTCCTCCATCATCCACGCCCCACGGCCCACGCGGAGCTCATCGTTGATGGCCGCATCCTCCTCTGTCCACGCCACGTCAGAACTCGTTGATGGCGGCCGTGTCCTCCTTGCTCCGCGACTATTCACTCCGGCGACAGCTCTGTCCCCGGCCGTCGCGACAACCCACGTCCATCAATTCCGACACCGAGCTCGTGCTGCTCCTCAATGCGTCACCACTCTTCGATTTAGCGACGGCGGCCAAGCCCCGCGCGACGCCGCCGTCCTCAGCTGGCGCGAGTAGCTGTGCAGCGCGACGATGACGTGCACGACGTCCTACAATGACTCACATCGCGCCGCAACCTTGCGCGAAATATCCTGTCTCAGCTGCAACGCCGCCGTGAAACCTGGTTGTGGCTATTCTTATCCATAAGCGCGTGAGGCTGGGAGAGGATGACGATCCTGTCCTGAACGTTAGCAACGGTATCCCGGTATTTAGCATTCCCGTAAAAGAAACGTTGGCTGGGCCAGTCAAATTTGCTCTTTTGGGCTGGAAAAGAATCCCCAGACGAACCAGCCCAGATCCTATGTGGGCTAAAAGACACACCTAAATGAAAGGTCGGCCCAGTTAATACAATTTTGACACCCTACTCTTCTTCTGTGCGCGCGCGTGTGAATCCAGGGCGTGACGAAGCAAATCGGAGGGTCGGTGCACGAGCTGGCGGCGAAGGTGGACGAGTACGCCCGCGGCATGATCAGCGGCTCCGGCTCGACGCTCTTCGAGGAGCTCGGCCTCTACTACATCGGCCCCGTCGACGGCCACAACATCGACGACCTCATCACCATCCTCCGCGAGGTCAAGAGCACCAAGACCACAGGCCCGGTGCTCATCCACGTCGTCACCGAGAAAGGCCGCGGCTACCCCTACGCCGAGCGCGCCGCCGACAAGTACCACGGTGAGAATCCCAAATCGTCGTGACCTCCTGCGTTTCTTGTTGAAATGTTTGAATCATCATGCGTGAGACCAACCGCGGGCGATTGATCGAGTTTGGTGTGTTCTTGGTGATCGATGATGCAGGCGTGGCGAAGTTCGATCCGGCGACGGGGAAGCAGTTCAAGTCGCCGGCGAAGACGCTGTCGTACACGAACTACTTCGCGGAGGCGCTCATCGCCGAGGCGGAGCAGGACAACAGGGTCGTGGCCATCCACGCGGCCATGGGGGGAGGCACGGGGCTCAACTACTTCCTCCGCCGCTTCCCGAACCGGTGCTTCGACGTCGGGATCGCCGAGCAGCACGCCGTCACGTTCGCCGCCGGCCTCGCCTGCGAGGGCCTCAAGCCGTTCTGCGCCATCTACTCCTCCTTCCTGCAGAGAGGCTACGACCAGGTTCGCCATTCTTCACACCATCTCGATCGATCTCTGCTTTCCCGTACCGCCGTACGCCATTGCTGACGACGCCGTCGTTGCTGGCTGAACAGGTGGTGCACGACGTGGACCTCCAGAAGCTGCCGGTGAGGTTCGCCATGGACAGGGCCGGGCTCGTGGGCGCCGACGGGCCGACGCACTGCGGCGCGTTCGACGTCACCTACATGGCGTGCCTGCCGAACATGGTCGTCATGGCCCCGTCCGACGAGGCGGAGCTCTGCCACATGGTCGCCACCGCCGCGGCCATCGACGACCGCCCCTCCTGCTTCCGCTACCCAAGAGGCAACGGCATCGGCGTCCCGCTACCACCCAACTACAAAGGCGTTCCCCTCGAGGTACGACGCACATACGTACACTCCATGGCCGGCTTCTCTCGGAGACCAATGCATGCAAATATCTCACAGCTGGCCGGCGCCGGTCGCCGGAGTTTTGGCAGGTAGGCAAAGGGAGGGTACTGCTGGAGGGCGAGAGGGTGGCGCTGCTTGGGTACGGTTCGGCGGTGCAGTACTGCCTCGCCGCAGCGTCGCTGGTGGAGCGGCACGGCCTCAAGGTGACCGTCGCCGACGCGAGGTTCTGCAAGCCGCTGGACCAAACGCTCATCAGGAGGCTGGCCAGCTCCCACGAGGTGCTCCTCACCGTCGAGGAAGGCTCCATCGGCGGGTTCGGCTCCCACGTCGCGCAGTTCATGGCCCTCGACGGCCTCCTCGACGGCAAACTCAAGGTAATTTTCGTCTCGCTATTGACCAACATCCCGTCTTAGAATACTACCAGTAGAGAATACCGTGACGTAAACGTATCGGTGTGTGTAAGGACAGGTCCTGATGTTTGTGTTTGATTGGTGCAGTGGCGGCCGCTGGTGCTACCCGACAGGTACATCGACCACGGGTCACCGGCGGATCAGCTGGCGGAGGCAGGGCTGACGCCGTCGCACATCGCGGCGACGGTGTTCAACGTGCTGGGCCAGGCGAGGGAGGCGCTCGCCATCATGACGGTGCCCAACGCGTAGCAGATGCGTGGCGCCTCTGGTAGAGACAATGCTTTGTACATGTAGAGATCAGTGAATTGTATATTAGTCGGCGTCGGGATAAATATTGATTAGTGATGCTGAGGGGAACAGTTACAGTTTTTTTGCTCTTCAGTTGTTCGTGGACGGAGACCCGGCTGCTCGATGTTCGATCGCTTGTATATCTAAGAAATGTTGTAAGTGGATAGATTTATTGATCATGATAAGGATTAGTCGGGTATTAATTGAAAGCATCAAAATGCGACTCAACGGAAAGCAAATACTCTATCCGTTTCAAAATATTTAACACCGTTGACTTTTTAGCACATGTTTAACCGTTCGTCTTATTCAAAAACTTTCGTGAAATATGTAAAATTATATGCCTACATAAAAATATATTTAACAATGAATCAAATGATAGGAAAAGAATTAATAACTATTTAATTTTTTTAAATAAGACGAACGGTCAAACATGTACTTAAAGTAAAGGTAGTAGCTACCTAGCTAGCATGAGTCGCTGCTGTCTGGCATGCGTGCATCGTGATGTTTTCAATCAAGTATGCAGTAGTGCTGAACATTATGGGTCAGCGTGGCAGGGGGCGTCGCAAGTTGGTGCATGCACCGCTTTTTTTCTGGTTCATTCTGTCCAACTGTTCATCTGGGATAGCGTCATTTGCATCAGGACAGATATACTGTTAGCCCATATGTGACATCAATAATTGGGTTGGATGAGGATCAGAGAGTGCACACTGCAGATATATATAGGATTATTACAAGTAAGCTGTTCATTATGTGGTAAATGTGATCGCGCATCATCAACAAGGCTCAAATGGACTAATGTAAACAAACACCATTAAGGACGACTATAATAAGCATAAGCATCTGGGGATCCCTTTCATCCGGGGATCGTTGATTTCATCTGCTCACTATAATTGTTGGAGGCGGTATGTGCAAAATTCTTGGAACTATGCGTGCCTCTCGATATATTTTCTCACCAAATAACACGAATCTTTCTAACCGTTGGATCTAAATCGAATCTTCCAGATTCTCCTACGTTTTCATTTAATTTGTCAGTGAGACCCAATGCCGCACACCCAAAGCAGCATTGTGCAGCCATCTTCACCCCCCGGCACACCGCCACTCTCCACCTCACCAGTAAAACCCTCCTGATTGTGCGTCCTCCTCCTCATAACCCTACTTTACCATGCTTCTTCATCTTAATCCCCAGCTTTGGTGTCTCCACCATGCTACCCTCTTCCGTCTCTAGTGACTCGATCCTACTGCTGGATCTGTCACCACCTCCTAAGCTAGAGGTGGTTGTAGACCATGATTTAATCCCAGAAATTTACCGAGTGATGTATAGCATTGCCAAAACTAATTTACCTCTCACAAAGCATAGCTCTGCAAAATCGCAAATCACAAGTGATGACTAACGACGACATAGTGTTTCCTAAAAAAATGCACGCAAGTATGCAACAATTCAGTGCTATTACATTGGTACTTGAAGTTAAAAGTTTCGCAAGGCCAAACACTTAAGTAGATATGGCAGCGTCTCACATATCTGCAGTACCAAAAAAAAAAGAACAAACTGACAAGGTGCCAATTTCATTGAACAAAACATGGGAAAATTTCATATATAGCTATGGGTGAAAACCAATACTATATGGTGGGCTAGGAATTAACACCCATGGTAGCAACGTTGAAAACCTCCTGACTCCTGCAAGGACCCATGTCCACCCCCCCTCCCCGCTTTGATTTTTGCGCCAAGGCCTAATCACCAAAGGTTCCTTGTGTTAGAAGATCATCTGAATCCTTTTCTTCCATATCTCCCACGAGACGAGCAGGTTAGTTAGCTTGCGTAACCCTTGCATTGGCACTCCTCTCGTGTTTGCGATCGCTCCCACCACTCATGCACTAGGCTGGTAGGCTTGCACTCTGCATGATCTAATTGTCCACGTGAGGTCCAAGAGACAAGAATTGCAAAATTCTCGTTGTGTTCAGCATTCTGCTAGGAGGTGAAAAGTTGTCTCTTGCACTCGGTGGCATACAGAGCATCTGGAATTATTTGGGCATCCCCAGGTCACTAATATATTCGAAGTCTAGATTCTAGTTTGGACGACGAGCCACGTGAAAGAGTTGTATTTTTTTGTGCCCAAGGCTTCCAAATGAATTTGATTGTACCTAGGAATCGGGCATTGAATGCAGATGCACGCAAGTACTCCTGGTGGCTTTGCGTGAGTTTTCATGAAATTTGGTATTCGATCTTTGCTATCAATGAAGTGTACTTCTCTTACGGAAAATTATTTTAAACTCTCGAGGGGACATCTTCTCGTTGTTTGCATGTCATCCAAATAATTTAATTTGTTTTTTCGTTGCAACATATATAAGCTGAATTTTAACTTACGTGTTTGTGGAGTAATTTATTATATATTAATATATATTCTTAAAATTTTTTTCATAACCATTTGAATGACATGTAAATAATAAGGAGATGTCACTCGAGAGTTTAGAATCCACTCTCCTCCTCTTACTAGTACAACATTCCAAACGATGCCAAACTGGACGATGAGCTCCACCGTCGTGCCATCGATGATTGGCAGGTCTAGGACTCTAGGTCGTGTAGCAACTAGTCGGATTGATCGAGCAGTTCCGCAGGCTGCAGCCCATCCATCTTGGGATCCACTTGGTGAAGATCTTCGGCACCGAAATCCACTCACTGCCAGTAGTAGTACACACTGCACACTACTCCCTCCGTCCAAAAAAAAACAAACCTGGTTTCCGTGCCCAGTGTTTAACCGTCCGTCTTATTTTAAAAAAATATAAAAAAAATTTAAACAGACAAGTTACGCATAAAATATTAATCATGTTTTATCATCTAACAACGATGAAAATACGAATTATAAAAAATTTTCATATAAGACGGACAGTCTAGATGGACAGTAAAAGTTGGACACGGAAACCATGATTTATCTTTTTTTTAGAACGGACGGGAGCACGAGTCCAGCTTCACACAAGTTACGAGGCCCACTCGATCGATTGCCTCCAAAACCGCAGCATATATACGGACTCCCTCCAAAAAGAATTTTCCCACCGCTTCACTCGATCACCACTACCCCCACTCGCTCCCTCCTCCAAAGGCGAGCTCAGCTCGATCTCCTCCGCGATCCCGATGGAAGCCAGCCACGCCCACCGCTCCTCCTCCGAAACCCTAATGGCCGCGCTCCTCTCGTCGTCGGTGCCTGCCTCGCGGCTGCTCCCCTCGCTCGCCGCCGACACGCGCCGGCTGCGCTGCCGCCTCGCGTTCCTGCTGCTCTCCCCGCCGCACTTCTCCCGCGCGCTCGCGCGGCTCCGCGCCATGTCGCTGCCTTCCAAGGCCGAGCTGCTCGGCCGCGTCCTCATCCGCTCCCTCCTCCTTCTCCTCCCCGCGCTGTCGCCTGACGGATCGCACCACCTGCTCCGCATCCCGGCTACCGACCTCGACGCCGCGATCCTGCTCCTCGCCATGTGCGACTCCTACTCTCCCCCGGCCGCGGCGTCGTCTTCCTCCCCTTCTTGTTCTTCCCCCGTCGACTGGCACGCGCTGCTCGTCGACGACGCGGTGGGCTCCGCGCTCTCCATCTCCGGCCTCGGCGCCACGCCGTGGGCGTCGCTCGCCCCCTACGTCGACGCGGCCGCCAAGTGCCGCCGCTTCGCTGACGTCGTGTCGCAGGAACGCGTGGCGGTCGGCGGCGGGAAGGACGGCGAGTGGCGCGGCGGGGCGTCGTACGCCGCCGTACTGGCGATGCCCCCCGCGGCCGGGGACGGCGCGCCGTGCGCGATCTGCAGGGAGGAGATGGTGCGTCGCGGCGGCGGGGGCGTGTGCGCGCTGCGCCCGTGCGGTCACCGGTTCCATTGGCACTGCGCGCTCCGGTGGCTGGCGCGGCGGAACACCTGCCCTTGCTGCCGCGCGGAGCTGCCCGCGGAGGACGCGCGCGCCGAGACCCGGCGGCTGTGGCGGGCGGTGGAGAGGATGGCAGCCGGAGACGACAGCGTCGGCTGTGCGTGACAACGTCGGTTGGCGCAGAGCATGGCACAAGGGAGAAACCCGTTTGGATGCATTTGAGTGTCTCGGACTTCAGGCGCAAGTACTGGTGTCAGATTCGCGGATGGCGAAATTAGCGGTGGACCCGTGGTGTATACACGCAATATGATGTGGAATTTTTGCTGATAAATCATGAAATGAAATAAACCAGATGTATTGTATATACATTACTAAATACATAGCCAGTGGAATGTTGGTTAAGTTTTTGTTTTATGATAGTATATGATTAGTCTGCAAATGATGGGTGTTTTTTTTTTGAGAACCCAAATGATGGGTGTTGATTTTGTGTTAGTAGCTTCTTTGGGTTCGGGAGAGAAGGTATACGTAGGTATCTTCCTTTTGCAGCTTAATGTCTGCCTTTTATGCTTTTTGATAACGGTGTGCACGCATAGCCTTAGAAAAATAGGGTAATACTATTTCGCCGAAGTAGTGATTAATGTTATTGGCATGGACTGGTGGATCCCATATGTCACATTCGACTGTTTATCCTAGTAGAAATTAAGACATGTAGATATTAATTAGTGATCTACTATGATCAAAGATCAAATACGGTATCCATCAGTTTTCACATTATCCTGAGATCGATCACATAACTCAGATGTGAGATGACCACACAATTTATAATCTATTATGGAACAGAAAGTACTTTGCACCCACCAGTCCATTTCACCATGTAACAGGTCCGGCCGGGTGACCAAAGTCAGCAAGCAAGGCAAAACGGACGGACGCGCACGGACGGATCCGGTCTCGTCAGTCGGGGACACCAGCATTCGTCCACGCATTGGCAGCGAGACGACGTGCTGCATGAGGTGGATGTACGCAACGTCGACGTCGATCGCGTGGTGGGGTGCGGGGAGGAAGCTACGACGGCGGAAGGAAGGATGAGATCGATCATGAGATGTATCCCGTTGGGATTGGGTCGTCGTTTTCCGCTCCGCTTTATTCCTCCTACCCATGCGATCCCTGTTCCCCCGTGCACGCGCACCCGCCCTTCTCTGCTCCATCGCCGCATGTGCCCGGCCCATGCCCGGCCATCTCGCCCAACCACGGAATCACTGGTGGATGAAACCGTACCTTACATGGCCGTCGCGTGTTTATTAATTTGCAATCTCACGCATCAATCATACTACCATGCTATCTTCTCCAAAGAAACATGATGTACATTGTATGATCGTAGGGGAATAATTAT